TGATAGTAAAACGTTACTATCGATTATTTATAAGCTATCTTTATCCGGGTTTATCTACATGTCCCTAAGATTTTACACGCATTAGCATTAGTGGCGTACCATTATACACTTTATATTAAAATTATTACAAGAATCTTTATATGTGAAGTCAAGGACATAATGGCAATTTCTATTGATTGCTATTTTGGGTTAGATGTAAAAATATAAGAAGTGAATGCATTGTATAAGTAAGGTTATGTAAAAAAAAATATAAAGATTGAATGCATTGTATATATTAGAGATAGAAAACTGTAAGGATTATAAGAATTAGCGATTTGTATATATAAACTGGGATGGAAAGGATAGTGCTTTTTTCTTTTGCTGCTTGACTTTAGTCTGACTCTTTGATAGTGTCCTTCCCAGCCTCCCCCCAAAAAAAAAAATTTATATTGTTGCAATTAATTCGCCCACACTATTATTCAATATGATATAAATTTTCCCGCTGCAAAATCTATTTGTCACGCTAAAATTTTTATTAATTTTGTCATTAATGTTATCATTGGCATTGTTTTATTACCTCATTTTGTGTAGATCATTATTACATTATGTTATCATAGTTATTACTTCATTTTCGGTTAATAATTACTTTTATTATTATATTAGTGAATTCTCATTACTACATTACTATATTTCTTGCATATGGTATATTGTTTTTCGTTTTCCTTACCTCATATATATGTAATCAGGTCTAAGCTAAAGAGTATATATAGAGTATCGCGTCTTGTAGAGAGCATAATAGTTTCTAATAACAATAATAAAATTTACTCCAATTCCATTCTACATATGCTGATCGAAGCTTAAATATTCTCTAAAAAGCTAAACTATATAATATAAATTTCTAAAAATTACAAAATTCTTCTTAAAGCAAATTATAAATACATTTTTTTCCAAAACGCTAATTTAATCTAACGTCTAATATAATTCAAATAAGTCTTTCTAGTTGCACTTTATTCCTTAATTTTGATCGAAAAAAAATATAACACCTGATCCCAAAAAAAAAAAGAGTTCAACAAACCACCTCTGATGTCTCGGGGTCATCAAATAAAATTAATACTGAATTACCTGAAACTCGACCTAATAAAGTGCAAAAAATTAGTCAAATAGAAGAAGATTCTGTAACTGAAAGAACTAAAAGTGAAGAGCTCTCAAGCCAAACATCATATAATATGGGTTCGCCACTTCATTTTTCATCTCAAGAACAAAATGAGGATCATCAAGTAATTGTGGTTGATCAATCTTTAAAAGTTCCAGATGTTAAAATATTAACAAATCGTGTAAGCAAATCAAATAAAACAAAATTAGCAGCAAGGGCTCCTAGTTGGGTTTGGGATCATATGAAAAAGGACAAATCAAAAAAAAAATTTAGATGTGATGTAGTTATAACTAAACTAAATGGAAATGAAAAAAAATGTGATAAAACATTTAGTATTGCAACATCAACCACACACCTTGGTGAACACCTCAATTATGTCCACAGAATTTTTTCTTATCAACAATATGGAAAAAATTCAGATGGACAAACAATAATAGATCCAGATAAATCAATGCCGACCATATCTTCAATGTTTTCAAAAATGGAAGCTCATAAGCCGGTTAAGCAACAAAAATTATTATATCGTTTGACTGCATGGATAGTTGATGATTGTCAAGCATTGACCGTTGTGGAAGGAAGATATTTTCAACAATTTTGTTATGAGATGGATCCTCGTTTTAAGGTTCCCAACTCAGCTCTAATTAAAACAAAAATTAGAGAATCAGTGCTCTTTACTGAAGATCAATTGTGTAATTTAATATCAGAAACAATGGAAATATTTTCTTTTACCATGAATATGTGGACCAGTATGTATCGTCTTTATATTGGTGTAACTATACATTGGCTTTCAAATAATTTTAAATTATATCAAGCAGTGTTAACTATAGAGGAATTTCTTTATTCACACTCAGGAGAATGCCAAGAACAATTTTTATCAAAGATTTTTGAATATTGGAATATACGTGATAAATTGGTCAGAGGAACAACTGATAATGATAAATTAATTATTAAAGGAATGCGGCTTCTCGGAACACCTCAAATACGTTGCACTGCCCATATGATTCAATTATCCATTAAAGATGGACTTAATGCTTGTAATGATCTTTTAAATAGGGCAAAAAAATTAAACAATTGGTTAGTAAAGAAAGATTGATATCGTCAAAGTCTTCATAATATTCAAAATAAATTTAATCAGTTGTCAGAAAGTGCCTTGGAAGACACAGAATAGCCACTATTGGAAGATGAAGATTCTGAATCAGAACCTGAAGATTTGACTGAATCATTAGAACAACCAACAACATCACAATCACAAAAAAAAAATAACTTATCCATCGTTGAACCTATTCGTGATATAAAGACCAGATGGAATTCGATTTTTTTGGTCTTAAAAAGGTTACTTCAATTATGAGATGCTGTAGAGCAACTCACAAGGTCTTTACATCATCATCCTGATTTTTAACAAAGAAAGGATGGACAAACTTTAAGTGAAAAATTACTCACAAACACAGAATGGATGGAATTAGAGGAACTAACATTACTTTTAGGTTCTTTTGCTCAAACAACAAAATTAATCAGAGGAGCACAATATCCAACCCTTGGCATGATGCTTCCTACTATCTCCCTTTTATTCACACACTTGTACCGAATGAAAGAGTCACTAACTTTATCCAATATCCTTAATATTTGTTATCAAATTAAAGATTCTATGACTAAACGTTGGGAAGCATCTTTAATAGAGGCTTACATTGCTTCTTACCTAGATCCTCGATTCAAAAATATGTCCTTTGACAAAGAAAAAAAAAAAGAAGTTCAAGAAATGATCGCGGAAATGATAAAAACAAATACTATTGATACCCAGAACAAACTGAAATAGATCGATTTTTCGACAGTGATAATCAATCTGATTATCCATTAGATAATGAATTAGAACAGTATAAACAAGCAATACAAATGAATAAATATCACATAGACCACCCACTTTACAAAATCTACAACCCTCTTATCTGGTAGAGTATGCATCAAAAGGATTACCCAAATTTAGCAACGTTAGTCCGAAAATTTCTTGCTTTTCCAGCAACTTCTGTACCTTCTGAACGTTTATTCTCTAATGCAGGTAATGTTTTAACAAAAAACGAAATCGTTTAGATCCAAATACAGTGCATGACATATTGTTCTTAAAAACAAATTTGGATCTATTCAACGTTTATCCCGGGCTTGAATAAAGGTTTTTTTTTAGTAAAATCAGCTTGTGGGTACCTTTTTTTTTGTTCTTCGCTCATACTATATAGGTTTTTATCATAGTTGGAGTTTAATTGTAGGATAAAGTATGTACATAACTTAGAGTATGTGTTTTAGATCTATCTAGATCTATTCGTCACAAATCTAAAATGTCGCGAAATCTAAAAAATTATAAACATTAAAAAATGTTAAAAAAAAAAAATTGTAAATATTTTGTAATTTGATTGGCTAAAAAATTATATATTGTAAAAAACTGGCCCGGTTGACCCAGGTCGACCCACCCTGTATCGGCCCTCGACCTGCAGATTTTTTATCAGCCCGTATCACTATCAACAACAAAAAACTGAACTATAGTAAAAAAGTATAGAAAAGCAACTAAATAGATACTACTCTTGGTCCTATGTTAAGTAGGCTGTTGTCGACGAAGCCTAAGTCAAACATGATATATTGAGAAGCGGGTATTTTCTGATAGTTTTTCTTTAGATCAAGTTTCTTGTCTGACAGACTCCTAAGGATATTTGGCATCCAAACCAGAAAATTTATTCTGGAAACAGGAAGTAGCTAGGCTCTTACCAAAAATAAAAGAAGTTTAGAAACTGGACAATACAACTGTAAAACTTACAAGAAGAACCTTACATATATTTGTTGGCCCACCACTTTTCTTTGAGAAAATTTTGTAAAAAGTAGATATTTTAGCTTACCCTCTCCAAAAGATCGATATCATGTGCACCAATTAGTCAGCATTGTTTATCTTCTAAATCAGATTGGTAACAACAAACACGTGAATACACGTGCCTCGAATAGATTATTTTTTCGTATAAACAATGCTCCAAGACATATCTCTGACCTCTCTACAACCAGGGTACTATCTGTTAAAGGAAGTATTTTGAATTAAAGTTGAGAAAGTTCTTTCTACCTAGGTTTTACTTAGATATACTAATTAAATAGGTTTAGAGTAGAAACTATCTTGTTTAGTAGTATATAATTTTTACAAGCTTTTACTAGCTTATAATAGTTACATTAGGATAGTATTTTGTTTATTTTCTCACTACTATTTTTATCTCTTTCTTTTCTTGTTTGTATCTTTTTATCGTTTCCTCTATACTTCTGTTTTTTACTCTTTTTTGCTATTTCTTTTTGGTTTTTATGCTTCTTGATAAGCCTGTAGCAACTAGCCGAAGACTGATAGGAAAAAAGTCTCTTGTGAGTAGGGACCCGGAAGGAGGCTACTGAGGCAGGCCACATTAGCACTTCTAAGATGTTGGTGAGCCCATATTTTGGTTAGATGATATAGATTAAAATACGAAAATATAATGTTTTTGTTGAAATTCTCAGTCTCAAAAAAAATAGAGCAGGCAGCTGAATTATAAAAAAAAAAAAAGTTACTATTATGCTAACTTCACTAAAACAAACAGGAATTTAGATTATTTTTAATAATAGAGTTCAACAATTTTAATAAAACTTTTTATATACTTCTTTTTGTTTATTCTTTGTAATTTGATTTTTTTTTAAAAAGTACTTTAAGCTGTATAAATAATATAAAATTAATAGCCAATCATACAAAAGTTTTTCTATAAGTTAATTGCTAAGAGTTTTGTTATTTGTTAAAAGTTTTATCAATTACTAGAAATTTTATCAGATGAATTATGAATATTTTATCATCACAAATATAATTTGTTGAGAAATTATTACTTCTGACTAAATCAAATACCATTAATTGTAATTTCATCAACTATTAGAAGGCTTCAATAATTTTGTCAAGGCAGGATTTTAGCAAGATTCTATAATTTCAAAAATTTGTTAATTGTCAAGAGTTTTTTAAATCACCAGAGTTTTATCAAACAAAATTATAATAAAACTTTTTGTTATTAAAAAATAATTTTGTCAGATAATTATTTTTGGCTAAATTAATTTATTAATTATCAGAGATTTTGTTAAAACTTCATCAATTATCAGAGTTTCATCAATATTTTGTTAATTGAGAGTTTCATTAATTGCCAGAAGTTCTATAAGATTTGTTAAATAAATTATAATTACAGTGCTTGACAAAAGTTTTTTCATATCTCTAGTTTTTGCTAGATCACATGCAAGTACATGAAATTTCATTCATATATAGTATATTGTATATACAGATTATACTAATGTTCTTTGAGTATATTTGATTATAAAAATATTTGCTTCAATCATATACAAAATCTTAGCCAAAAAATACTTTTTGCTTTATATAAATAATATAAATTTATTTTTTTAAGCACTTATCTGAAAGGTCTCAAGCTTTTAATTTGTAAAACAGTAAAGCAAGTTTACTGTAATGAAAGTTCTGTGTGCTATTAGGTAAAAGGTAATATAAAATCAAAAACCTAAGCGACAAACCAAGGTTAGGCTATAAAAAGGTCATCACACAAAGACAAGATAAACAGATTTTGAAATTAGGAAAAGAAAACAAAGACATTATAGCTTCAGAAATTTGTTGTGATCTGATAAAATAGAATATTAATATTCACATACACACTATTCAATGGCATCTTCATAAAAGTGAAGGCCGCTATTACAGAAAGCTCTTAAAGCCTTTGCTTGAAGAGAAGCATTAAAAAAAATGCTTTTTGTAGATGAAAAAGTATAAGGATTTTGACTAGGATTCCATAATATTTATCAATAAAAATATTTTCTATTTGAATTAATAACTAAAAAAGGCATGAAAATTTTTTAGAAGAAGAAAATTAACCTGTTCTGTTAAGTATCTGACAAAGGTTCATATATGGGGCTGTTTTTCTTCTTTGGGCTTTGGCAGATTGGTCTGCTTTATATATAATCTTAATGCGCAATATATAACCACCCTGTATAAAATGAGCCTTCTATTGTAAATCTTTTTAATAAATGTTGCAATAGTTGGATCTTGTAGGAGGACAACAATCTGAAGTATTATTCAAAAATCATAAAAACTTAGAAGGAAGAAAATAACATTTAGGTTCTCTTCTGGTTGTCGATATCACCTAACCAAAATCTAATTAAAAATATCTCAAGGTTAATAAAAATAAACCTGACAAAAAAAAATTAGAACCCTTAATCATTTGAAGGGTGAAATAACAAAGAAATGGAATAGCTTATCTAAAAAATATATGAAAAATTTAGTTAGAAGTATAAAGAGTTATGTAGAAATCCTAATTGAAGCTGAGGGCAATTATATAATATGTTAATTTTTCTTGTAATACAATATATTTTAAAATAAAAATTTTTTTACTTATCTTAGGGGCATACTATTTATCACATAATATTTTTTACTTAATAGTTACCCCATTTATGTATGGTGTGATCACCCTAGCTTGATTCTGATTGGCCAATTTAATTAATTATTAAAATCTTCTTAATATTTTTAAAATTGA